TATCGGGCTCATATATATATATATCACATCCTGATCGGAGAATGGATGAACATGTTCAGCTGCATTGCAATGGATCCCCACAGCAAGCCAGAAGCATCCTGAGCAGATGTCCGGAGTTGTGAAGCCTCAGTGAACAACTGTCACTCCTGGAGCTTTGGGCCCTGTAGGGTGCTTTGCCTTGAAAAGCAGCTGAAACACTACAGTCACAGACCTCCCCCCGAGGCTCGCTTAGCTCAGTGACTAGTTCAGAACCTACCCTGGCGAAGAGCTGGGCTTCTCAATGCCATCACGTTGATCGACGCAGCTACTCCTGTGAGATGCCAGGGTTTCGGCAAAAGAGCCTTTAGTGTAGCGCAGCTCGCTCTTCACTAAATGTGTCCCAACAACTTGAAGCACATACCCCAGCAAGATGTGCAACCTTCGGCTTTGGAAACGGTCAAACTACAGTATGGGCAGGGGAGAGGACGGTAGCCGAAATAAGCAACTTCAAGACAGCAAGTGGAGAGACCATACGAAAGAGAGCACAAATTCAATACTTCGGAAGAAGCGATTCGTAGGTGCATTAGCAGTGGAGTATTGGTAGTCGCTACCGGGCACCAAGGGGTCGCGGACATTTGGATGGAGGAATCACGAAGCTTTGCAAACCCAGCACATGGCTAGTCCTCACTGCCGCAGCAGAGTGCCTGTCAAGCTGTGTCTGCGTGCCTGTGATCTGCTCATGCAATGTAGTAAAATTGTAAGTTCTTGAGGAAGCTTAGATTAAGGCATCTCAGGATGCAAGTGGATATGTTTGATCGCAACCTGTGTGATTCAGCGCACATACTGATTCAGCAATCTAAACTACCTTCCAGTGTAATATTGACTTGTCCTCGTTTTCTTTACATCTCTGTGCACATTTTGAAAATTTCATCTTGCTTTTGTTGCCTAAAAATCGTGCATAAAATTGCTTTTTGAAAGCTAAGATAAGAGTTGCATTCCGGTGAGAAGGCGGGATTCAGAATCCTGAAAAGATTCCACGCATAAATCCATGTAGCTTTATGTGGATGATGGTGATGTTCTTGAAAAAACTGTTTTAATAACTCTGGTCCGGTAATCTGAATTGCAAAACGTTGGCATGACGTGTTGTTCTTCCAATCAGAATGATTTCAATATCAAGGAAACAATGTTTGTTCACATGCCCTTGTGTCTCTTCGAATAAGCGGAAGAGTGCTTCGCACCCTCGTTTTGCCGTCAGGGAAGTTAATGAGGTCTTTAATCCTGCCTCCTTTCCGTTTGCCTGCATCCGTAATTATCCTCATGCACGCAGCCGCCTTGCTTAAATGACGGTCAATGCTTGAATGCCTTCATGGCCCTCTGGCCTCTCGGCGATGCAGGCATCAATTGCTGCGTCCATGTCGGGTGCCGAGAAAGCGTCCTGCAGTCGGGTCTTCAAGGTGGCAGCTACCCTAGGGCCCTAGGGCCCTAGTACAAGTCCAAACGGCTTGCACTTGAAAGTGGACTTGCAAATCTTGATTGGAACCATGCAGCCGGTCGATTTAAGCTGTGACACCACCACTTCAGCAACGCCAAGAATGCAGCAGATTGGCATCTTCAAGCTTTAAACCCAAGTGGTAGATGGAAGCACAGACGAAACGGCTCATCCCCAAAGTCCAACTAAAGCTATCCTGGTAAACGCAGAATACCCCGTCGACTGATGCCGAATGCAATGCCCGTCCAGCAGGCAGGTGATCCGCTTGATGGCACGATACTCATACTTCAAGTCCTGATTGCTGAGAGGGCGCATGCGCCATGATGCTGACATGCTTCAAACTCTAGGGGAAACCCTCCACTTCTCACCGTTCACCAGCCTGGATGGTCTTGTTGGAAGCGGCCACTTCGGCCAACTGAGCAGCAAATCAATGGCATCAGTTCGCAAACAGCATGGATGCTGCAGAAAACACCGCAACGCCCGTGTGTAGGCAAGGTCAAAACCCTTGACGCCTTGACGCTAAACTACCCGCCGGAAGGTCAATGCACCTCTTGGCGGCTATCATCCAAATGCAGGCCAAAGGGCATAGCTATCCCACTTCGCATTGTAGCAGGCAGGCAGGGACGCGCAGTTCTCGGCGGTCCTCATTGCATAAGCTCAGATAAATGAGCACCTCTATCGACGGGATCTTTAAGGACTTTGCTCCCCTAACCAGCTGCGCTAGCTGCTAGCTGTTGCTCGTTGTTTCCAGCATTTGAACTGTGAAATCCCAATTTACCTGTAAGCCATTGAGGGTGTCCTCTCGTGCACTTGGCAAGCCGTCTCCTCCAGCTGTAGCTGAGCAGCTTGGCCTCAGGCAATTAGGCATATCCAAGCCTGGGGACGCTTTGCGTCGCATGCTGGTGCTGGCTTTGCAGAGTCGAGTTCTACCCACCACGAGTGCCAGTGTGCTTGACAGTCTTGGACATGCCGTCATTGGACTTGTTTCTTGTTTTTGGGTCATGCATGTTCACCTTGGCGAGGACACTGAGGTAGATTTGTTCAGTTCCCCGAAGTGCGCAGGAGAGAGCATTCGAACATGTCAAGCGGCATTTCGTGATCTGCTCGAAGTAATCGATCTCCTGACGCAAGGGGCTGTATGCAAAGACTCTCCAATCAAGCAGCATCACGCTAGCTGCTAGCTTGCGGCTTTGCGGATAAGCGCTGCAGGTAGCATCCCCGTCACCCGAGGCAGGTTGTAGCGTCTGTCTCCATATGTTGTGGCATGTTGTGGCTTGGGTGGTGCTACGTAATTTACCAGCTCCAATGCATAAGCGGGCACCACCCGAAAACAGCACCTTGTCGGTGCAGTTCCACTGAGTGATGTTGGCCGTCACGTTCTCAAGGTGGTAGTAAGTCTTCCACCACGCCAACTCGGCAGCAGGCAGCAGGGCAGGCGAATACTCCCTGTTTGTGCTGCTCAAATCTGGCTGCAAACTCAAACTCTAACTCCAGCGTCCAAGCATTCAGGGCCTTTGTTGGCAATGCCCACAACGATGATAGCTAGACGACTTCCAAGCTCGGCCTAAAACTCTCTGGAAATCCAACTCCATGACACTGCTTTCGCATGCTTTCGCACTCTATTGCGGAAGCTTCAGCTGTTTTTCTTCATGCCTTGTTCTACAAGCTTAGAGCGCATGCTCGGTGCATACCCACTAATCATTATCAACCGTCCAGCGGGAACTACCAAGTCTGACGAGAAGCCTGCTTGTTCTTGAAGTGGTCTCGCCTGTGCAAAAACAGGCTTGGTTGCAACATGCTGCAGGATAGCGTGGTAATTTGACTTGACTCCTTTCATCAAGAAGCCACAACGTAATTGTCATCAATGTAAACCGACGGAATGTGTCTTGGTTTAGTGCAGTACCGCATGTCCTCACATGCCGTGAGAACTTGTTGTTCAATACGTGCTACGCTCGCACTGCTGTGTACACCGTGTTTTGTACAAACCACTGCATTTTGCAACCCTCCAGCATCCCGCACTAAGCAGGTCAGGGCATTCACTCACACTGCACATCGTAGGAATCTAACTTATGGTTTTCATGTACGTGGAAACAGGAAAGATTGAATGAATGCGCAAGGACTCTACAGGATAAACGATTCACCTAGCATCGCGGGACACGGCTTTGCGGAACTGTGGATCCACATGCGGGCTTACGAAGCTGCTACAGCATGAACACTTTGTTCAAGATTCACCAATACACAGGCTACAAAACACATCTGCGCGGTTGCAGCACAATGTCAGGAGCCTTGCACGCTTTGAATCTGAAGAGTCACCCCAAGCTACCTTAACACCACCTAAACAATCACTCAAGCCCACCCACAGCCCCCAAACAAGCACCCCAAGGCCATCCCAGCCAGGCACAGTACACCTAAGCCTAGGCCTACTCAGCCTACTCATCAATATCTCTTCATTCAGTCAGCTGATTCTCCTCATTCATGGCAATTTTTGACGGCTCGGATCCGACGTCACATCCTCAAACCTCTGCCAAGGTGCATGGAGCCCAGGTAAAGCAGAACGTCCTCTCCCTTCACAGAGCACTCCTCCGCAGCATTTGTGCTGTAGAAGCTCGGAAGACCCTACAAGCAAAGGCGGGCAGAGTCCTCCGGGCTTTCGAAGATGTTGATACCTGCAATCACCCAATTGCTGCTCCTAAACAATCTGCCTGCAATATCTTGCTAGGTTATGAGAACTCCCACGTTGAGCAAAAAACGCTGCGCTCGTTCTAGCAAAATGCTTTGCCACGAGCCCCCTAGGCTTCAAGACTGGAAATGCATTTGCAACTGTGCTCTCGGAGCCTTGGAACTCGGTGGTCAGCGTCTGCTCCAAGGAGATAAGAGTTTCCCGGCTAGTCTTGCACGCGTCCAGCTCCTGTCAGGCAGCTCTTGGAAATCAACCAGAGCCAATCAGGGCATAGCAAATAGTTTCCAGGTTTGATCCGGCCGCCTGCTTCTTGGCCGAGACCTCTAAGCGGCAGGTGCGGTGCGCAGTGCGAAGAGGAGCAAAGTCGCCGTTGAAGCCTCGAGACGAGACTCTCCAAGTTCTAAACTCCTGTTCATGTCCACGGCTCGTGAAGCGTGCACAGCTCTATTCACATACAGAAAGGCAAGATTGATGAACGTTGGGGACTCCGCTTTTTATGTAGATACAAACAGGCATCAGATCAGGATTGCAACCGTGCCCTCTCGAGAAGCTGTTCAATGAGTTGGCAAGATTTAGCATCCACGCTTGGAGCGATTGCACTTTCAGCACTTCTGAAATCCGTTGCGCGACCTTCTGGCATGAAGGTAGTGTTGCCGTTGTAGAGGGGGCAACCGACGGAGAGATTTGCGAAGGCCTGAGGGCCGCAACTGCAGGATGGTCCACGCTGATAAGTCAAGGACTAAGGACGATGAAAGCACTATGAAACCGGACTCCAAATCCTAGACATTCAAACGCCCGACAGGATCCAGGTGTCCTCGTGGCAGCCAGCATCAGCCACACCAGCAGCCTTGAGAACCTCAGCCTCCATCTTCTTCAGCTCCTGCGAGACCACGTACATAGCCATAGCGCTCAATGGATGTCGGGCACAGCTACCAAGGAGGAGATGTACCGAAGCGCTCCAAGCAGGTAAATTCTGCGCCCTGAGACACTCACTCTTTTTTCCCAGCCATCCGTTCAATGCAGCTCACTGCATGTTCTACAAAAACACTTTGGCGCTCAACTGGGAGGAAATTGAAACAAACGACAAAGCCTATCTTGAATGATTCTGTCTCTTGCGGCTTGAAAAGTGTTTGCATCTTGTGCGTCAGACCCGATGTAGTTTCAATTGCCTGTTAGCTGGCAAGCACTGTCAGGTTGATAATCTGACACATTGGGTTTGTCGGTGGACAAGGTACACTGTGCGCAGCAAGTTTCACTCGCCCTTGTTCTAACATGTTGCTACACGGATGTCTCTACCTGCAATTTCATAAGCCCTCAAGAACAATTTCGCATTGGTGTCCCTACAGTCTACGTGCGTGGAAGCCATTCTATCAGAATCTTGCGAAGGCCTTCATGATGAAACACGTTAATCTTCCGGACTAAGGACTTTGTTAACTGGACTTTTTCAAGTCCGTCTAGTAGTCTAGCAACCTAATCCTGATAACAATGTCATACACCAATAATTGCCACTTTCTATTAGCTGCCAAGTCTTTCCAATAGACATGCCGTTTCATCCGTGTACGCTTTACATAAACCATTCGTTAAATGACTTCATGACAGATATTCACAGTACTGTTCACATTGCTTCCTAAAGTAGACTGCTTGTTACGTCTTATGCAGCAAGCGGTGATCTGAAAAGTGAGCATGTGCGCAATGAACACTATCATGAGGTCAAGGCCTGGGAGCTTTGCACCCAGAACGAATTTGTGGCAGGAATACGCAAATCATGGAGTTAGCCCCATCTGATTCCTGTCCGTTGATTTGTGGAAGACATACCACAATCATCTTGTACAACGAAGGTGAGGTAGGAATTGATGGTCCGGATAATGCTACCGTACTTGTGGGTGAAATCGAGCCCTTCCAGTGAAAGTCGAGTCTGTCCCATGATTGGAACAGTTTATCATGCTGCACCTTGCGAAATCCTTCTCCTGATCTAATGGAGCAAAACAGAAAACTCACTCTAGGTTGACAAATGGTGCTGACGAGCTCCGCACCAAACATTGTGCTGATTAGGTTAAGAAGTGGTACATCATGAACGGCTCAATACGCTGATGCAAAGCCGTGGTCCTCTTTGATCTGTGTGGCCAACTCTGTCACGTTGCCGTCAGCGGGCTGGCAAAGGTCAACAGGGTTGCGGGCGGAAGGCTCGCAGAAGCAAAACGTGTCTCTGGGACGCAAAAACACACTTGTATTGGTTGCTCTCACGAAATACTGACGATACATTGCATGGTTGGCCAGTACAAAAGCGCAAGCGTGGCGCAGTCCTGGCTTGTCTCTTGGCTTACAGAGCACTGCCCATCAGGCCTGCGATTGCTTTCGTGCAAGCTTGGCCTGCTGCGCTAGCAACATCACCTGGGATGCCGAAACAGAGCACTCACACTCGAAGCCACAGAAATTGGCACCATCACACATCCTGAGAAGATACTGCTAGCCTGCAAACACGTTTATTGCATGGAGCGGCCATCTGCTCCATCTCGCTAGCCTTCGCCTGCTATGATCAGGAAGACCGGCCCATGCTTGAACCACAGAGTGCCCACCTTCGACTCGCTAGGCTTCGGCACGTTTGCCAGCAAGTTCACAATGCTATCCTGCCCACATGTTGTCATCACGGCATACAACTGATATTGGGGCTATCGAAGAGCTCCTGCTGGCTTGGCATCGGTGCGATTTTTGCTGCCTGCGTGGTGGCACTGAAGGCCGCAAACCTGAGCTCTGAGGGAAGGCTCTTTCTGTCCCGCTGTCTGGGCCCGGAGCTGACACTCCGGTTTGTTTCTGTAGCCATGCCGAGGAGCAGAGCTAAAAGCTTGAAGGACATGGTCGGTGTAGAAAAAGAAACCTGAGAAACTGGTCAAGGGACAATTTCATTGCTGTTAGATTGGCAGTTCTTTGCAGCTTCAGTGTTGCTTGAAAAGAGGCACATGATCCTTGATTCAACTACCGTTACTGATTCAGATACCCGTGGCAGAAGGCTCTGCTGCGTTCCCTGGGCCCAGTCCTGCGAAGCAGCTACTGTAGTATATTGCCAAGTTGCACAGACGGACAGTCCTGGAAAGGAGCAGAATCATACTTTAATACTCTAGTGTAAGAGGGGACTGAAGGCACATGCTTGAATTTCTAGGTACTCTTGATCACAAAGTTCTGGGGATGCCGTTCGTGCAAGAAATGACTGCGTCCAGTTGTGGTTTAAAACTTTGCACAGTTGGCTGTGCAACATGCAATGCATGCTGCCTGCAAAACCCAGAGGCAGGAGTCCTTGCTGCATTAACAAGTCCCTAAGGACCCGCGGTTCTCTCGAGCCCAAAATGGCTGAGGCTTGGCAGCAGAGCTGCTTAGGTGAGCTCCTTTACAAATACATGATAACGAAGCCGAAAGAGAACAAACATCTTGACAGCAAACAGGTTCCGCAACTCTGCCAGAATGAAAGTCCACCAGCCAACTGTTGATCACCAGCTTTCAAACTGTCCCCAAAATGTCACCAAAGGTCCCCGCCCCATTCTGATGCAGGCTTCCGCTGGGGGCCTCGGCCCGGGAAGGGCCCATGGCCCCGCTCGAAGCCTTGGCAACACGTTTTAAAAATGTCAAGCTCATGCAGGTGCACAAGCTGGTCGGACTACCACACCCACTTTGTAGTGGAAACTCCCGAGGGTAGCTCCCCATTGGCCGGCGCCCAAATCGTGGCACAGCTCTCTGTCGTCTGCCGGAACATCCTCCAAGCACTTCCGGCAGACTGTTCGCAGACCCGTCTTTTGCAAGCACTTCTGCCCTGCTATGCAGAGCTGCCTTGTGCCCTTGACACACAAAAAGCGAGTCCTCTGAGGCTACCGGAGCCGAGCCAAGTTCCAGGGGCCAGCGAGGCGACGGGGACGCAGTTGGCCTTTGCAAATGCTGGGCTGACATAGGATGGAACAGCAAAGCTTTCAGCCACGCCTTCCTGATGCATGCCCTTGTCCAGTCTCTGAGTCCCCCACGCACGGCTCGGTGGCCGGGTGTCTGGCAAGCGGGCGCTCGCACGCGAGCTCGGGCGCGAGCTGCGGTGCGAGCTCCAGCGGGAGCTGGGACGGGAACCCGGCCTGGGCTCTCAGTAAGGCTAACATGACTCCGAGTGATGAGTCATCGTCCCTGTCTCTTGCATCCGTGAAGCGTAGTAGCACGCTCCATCTCAGCCTCGGCTGCAGTCTCCACAGACTGGACACCTGTCGGGCAACTAAGCGCAACTAGGTAAACAGGGCTTGATGCTGGCGCTTGGCTGGCACTTCATGTACCCAAGCCCAAGTTAAGACTCAAGCTGTGTTAAATCAGTTTCTGTGCGTGCGGACTCGGTCAACATGCCTGACGGCTGCTCCAGCCCGAAGCTGACGCACCGCCTTCGCAAGATGCAGAATCAGAGCTGGGTGCATGGACCATGTTCTCAACTGCTCAACTGCATGCCGTTCTGAATTGCCTCAACGCAGGCACCAGCTGCGGACGGTAAAGGAGGAAGCGGATGTCCACATGCGGACCGAAGTGGCCCACCTGGCAGACAGGACAAGCTTGAAAGCGTCTAGTTTGGGCTTTGGGGCTGTGCAAACAAGATTCACCTCGGCCCTGCCAAAAGGCCTTCAGAGGTAGCTTTGTTTTGCATTTCCCCGCCAACAACTCTTGGCCCTTTCTACCCCCCATAGCATGCACTTTCTACCGGAACCCCAAACCCTACCTCTCCCTTGTCTATACCCCATACTCCTCTAAAGAGACCCTTGCCCATGCCGGTTACACCCATCCCTAATGCCTATAGATCCTGTTCCACCCTTTCCCCTCCACACCCCCCTCTCTCACCTTCAAACCAACAAGGGCAAAGCCCCCAGCGTTTACGTGGGTGTACAGGCAAAACGGCTGCCCATAACTTGTCCTACTGGTCGGCACTGCGTCCAACATGTCCGGGCGCAAAGACCCCTCAACCCTGAATCTCCCTCGTCAAATACTCACAACCTCGAGACCCTACATGTCACTTGCCTTTGACTCTCTAGCCGCCACACAACCCTTTCAAAGCAAAGGGCCCCCCCATCTCAACCTCGCCCCTCATCTTTGAGGGAATTTGAAGCAGAGCAGAGGGCATTTCCCCCAGCGTTTATGTGGCTGTTGGGCTGACCAACAGAACCTAGCAACATTGGTACTGGGGACATTGGGGGGTGGGATGTCAGCATCCCTGTAACCAAAAACTACCGGTGCTCCTACTGCAGTGCTTCCAGCATGTCTTGCAAAACCCTAAATTGCCCTTGTCTTTTTTGAAGGATCGCTAAACCTCAAACATCCACATACTCTCTGGCCACCCCTGCCTTTAAAATTAAACGGACCCCTAAAAGCTACCTTTATCTTGTCCACAACCCCTATCCGCTTGAAAAGGACTGCTGGACCTCAAATATCTCCTGCCCATACTCGCTAGTCATCCCTGTAAACAGACCCCTTGACCTTAAATATCCCTTGCTCATACGCCCTATGCACGCCTCTTTTAAAGAACCCCTAAACCTCTGCATGGCCCTTGCCCATTCGCCCCTAGACGAATTCTAGACCCTAGACATTCCTCTAGGCCCTAGACATCCCTCCCGTACCCCTCCCACCCCCCCAACACCCCCCCCCC